CTTAACTCCTTTGATCCCCTTTAATACGCCCTAAAGTTTTCCTCTAAATAATCCGCTATATAACCTCCTGTAAGGAGTTTAGACTATGGCTCAGGTGCAAAAATGTCGCACTCAACATTCTGCTTTTCTTGCCAAAAGACAAGTCCTTTGACCTTCGTGAAGGCCCGAAGAGATGTGCCAAATACTTTGGGTTGGGCCCCCACCCACTAACAGTGGTATATTAGGAATATATAAGGACCCTAATATAATTGCCATTACCTCTTGTGGTCACTGTTAGTGGGTGGGGGCCCAACCTAACAAATACTGTAGGAAGGGCAACCCCAGGCTTTTATGTTTGACGGCTTGGGGAACTGCAGTATTGGTTGGTGGGCTTGAAAGAACGGCCATGAGTGTTGGCCTTTCGGGTTCCACGTCCTCTTCGTGCAGTCTTCTTTGGAGGGATAGAACCTATGAGCCGGAATAACAGTAACTGTTCGCAAGCCTTGATGTCAAAAATCGGTCGTGCCCATTCTTGCCGCCAAATTGGTATAACGTAAACCCCAAACCCTGAATCCTGAACTCTCTGTCACGCGGGTATTTCCATGTGACCCCCCAATATGAGTCTTGTTAGAGGGACCCCTAAAAACGGGACCCATGTGGCCGACCAAGGAGCACGACGAACCGGAAAGCCTGAAGCCCAAACCCAAAACTCCTAAACCCATAAACCCCCAAATCCCCCAACCACAAATCCCTAAACACTCTAAACCCCCTCAACCCTTAACCTCCCCAAACCCCTAAACCCTTAAACCCCAAACCCCAGGAGCACGATGAACGGGAATGGGTGAGCCGCAACCTGAACCCAACGCGCACCTGCGTCAGCAAAGGAGGTCATTCACTGGAGGTGCAGCTCTTCCGCTTTGGGGTTTTAGGGGTTTAGAGGTTTTGGGGGTTTAGGGTTCAGGGGTTTAGGGTTTAGGAGTTCATAGGTTTAGGGGTTTACGGGGTTTCAGGCCTAGGGGTTTCCGGTTTAGGATTTAGGGTTTCAGGGGTTTAGGGGTTTGGGAGCTTAGGGGATTTGGAGTTGAGGGTTTAGGGGTTTAGGAGTTGAGGGTTTAGGGGTTTAGGAGTTCATGAGCTTACGGGTTTAAGGATTTAGGATTTGTAGGCATTGTCTGGGGTCAGAGCAGCAGGGCTTTCTGATAGGGCTGTTTCGGGGAGCTTATGACGAGGTGATGTAGGCTCTCATGAAGTACTGATTGTGTGTATGAAGCTACATGCAAGTAAGTAAAAGAGGGCTTTACAGGCACTACAAGCGGCGTTTGGCAAGTTCCGTGGGTGTTTGTTAAATTCATGGCCACTGCCACCATTCCAGAAAATTTCTTGCAAGTAGCCACCTTACTGGGACGCTCTCGGGGTTCTTAACTGAACGATCCTCGGACTTCTTGGTGTGTAATGGGGCCGCCTCTGATTTTGCAACGGAGCGCTCAACCTGAAACTGAAACAACACAAATGCCTTCAAACCCTAAACTGTAAACCCTAAACCCTGGCCCTGAAAAGCCAGCCTATCCCAAGCAGCCCAGAACCAAATAGGTGGACGTGCGGCCTGAGCTGATCCGCAAGTTCAAGATGCCGTACAGCCCCGGAGATGTGCTCAAAGACAAGGCCCGTTTTGGATTTCATGACCCTAAAGTAGGTGTAGTCTTGACTCCTCAAAGGGAGATGATATAGGGGATTATATAGGGGAGTAAATAGGGCTTATTAAGGGGCATACTAGGACTTTAGACCTCAAATGAGGGTGCCCTTAGAATCTTAGGAGTTGCCAGGAGAAGGATAGTCTCTTAAATACTTACCTAGCCTCAATATACGCTAGACCCTAAACCCTATACCCTAAAATATAAAAGCCTAAACCCAAAGCCCTAAAACCCCGAACCCTAAACTCTAGGGCCAAAAATCCTAATGTGCAGCTAACGAACGAGGATGGGGAGCTGATGACCTGCGTGGGGGTGGCTCGGCGGCCAAAGGCCGAGAGTCACGAGCACCTGGCCAAGGTCATCCCCCTCCCTCTTACAACGAACCCCCATATAATGGAGAATCAAATGGAAAAGAAAATGGAAAATGAAATGGAAACTGTGATTCTATAGGGGATTATAGGGATTAGGGTTTAGGGTTTAGGGGTTAGGGTTGCGGGTTCAGGGCTCAGGGTTTAGGTTTTTAGGGTTTAGGGTTCAGGGTCTAGGATTCAGGGTGTAGGTTCAGGGTTCAGGGTTCAGGGCTCATACTCGGGTAGATGGGGGAGTGGCAAAGAAAATGGAAAATACCACATCATGTAAGATTAGCCGGCTTTTCTGGTTGGACTTTGATGATTTGTGGCCTTAGGTGTTCTTTTTTAGAGTTTCGTGTTAGAGATTAGGGGCAGTTTAGAATTTCGGGTTTCGGGTAGCAGCGACTCTCCTGACTATCCGGGAACCAACTCATTGCAAATTTGTTTTCTTCTGGAAACGTAATACAGGCAAAAAGCTTGCTGGGCTTACTAACGCCAGTTTTTGTTGCCTGCCTGTTTGCTCCGTGCCCTAAACCCTAAACCCTAAACCCTAAACGCTAATCTAAGCCGGTTCGGCTCTCAGACCTTAAGCCAGAATATGTGTTTCAAGCTACTTAGAAGCCCTCTGAAAGTTGCAGAAAACATGCGACAGGATCCTCCTGAACACACACATGAAGCTGATGACTCGGTTGCTGTTAAGGAATTTAGTTTATGTTACTATATTGGGGAAACCCCATTATTTACTATATATACCCATTATGGTAACTTAATTTAAGTTCCTTAATGGCAGCCCAGTATTGCACTTGTCCGGCTTTGGAGAGCCAGTCAGGTACCGCAAAGTGGAGGTGTGGTTCCACGTCGAGGGCTCCGCTGGTGCGGGCTTGAACCCCAAGATGTACCTGGTGTCTGCATAGTGTTTTTCCTGTTGGCTTCCTTCCCTAAGTCCCGAAACCCCACTGGGAGATTCAGGGTGATTCTAACCCTATTTGTACATCCTTCTACGTCCCCCGAAGATAGATATATCTAACTAGGTTACAACTTACAATCATGATACTGGGCCAGTTATCTTCGAGTAAGCCCCTTACCATAAGCCAATCCATGAATCCTACGTTTAGTGTGGCGTAGCCGCCCAGGCAGCATGTCCGTTTTTGATCACAATGACTGCAGTCTTTGAGGGTTAGGGTCTTTGTTAGCAGGGGGTAGGGAGGGGTTGACAGCAATTTCTTGTTTAAAACAGAGTTCCATACAGAAGCAGCCTACCTGTGAATTCGCTCCCAAAGCAATTCCCTTCATGGTGCCTGCGTGTTCTTGCCTCAAGTCCCACCAAACCATCTGCGATCCCTTCTCTAAGCCATGCGGCAGTATGCAAGCCTAAACCACGGCTGTCAACATTAAGCCCTTAACCCTAACCCCTAGGTACAAAGATCGCGGCCGCTACATGGTCCTGCGGAACGATCCCAATGCTAGCAGCGATATCTACCAGGAACCAGGACTCGCCTGGTGTCGGGTACGCGTTGAAACCTAGCCTGCCAAGCTCAAAGCTGGACCAAACACCATATCATCCTGAGTTGCTTCCAAAAGCTTGTAGGGTTTAGGGCTTAAGGTTTAGGGTTTAGGGTGTAAGGTTTAGGGTTTAGGGTTTAGGGTTTAAGGTTTAGGGTATTGTTTAGGGGATTTGAAGACCTCAGTGAGATGCCCTGTAGCAATCTCACAAATTCGGGCGTAACTCAGGGCCTCATCATCTCACCTTGAAACACCCAACCCCCCAGCCTCGAACCTCAAAGCCATAATGCCAGGAAACCAGCCCCAAACAGACTCCTAGACCTTCAGTCTTCAATCCTAAAGTCCTAAGGCCCTAATGCCTACATCGTAGTTTCTCAAGACGTGGTCTCCCATCTTCTTATGAAATATCGTGAAGTATACGGAATCAACAAATGTCCCTCGCATGCGCAAGGGCCACCCTCTTGAGAAGCCTCCACATTCTACTCCTGACCCTAAACCCTAAACCCTAAACCCTCTGAGATTGGGTGCCCACCCTTAGCCTCTCACCCTAAGCACAAACCCCCAAGTCCTAATGCTGCCCTAAACCCAAGGCCCTCAAGTCTAAGCTCTTAAACATTAAACAGTTAGCCTTAATCTTTTCCCTGAAAACCTTCTTAAACCCTAAACCTAAACCAATACAGTAAGCCCTAAACCCTACACTTTCAACCCTAAAGCCACAGCCCTACGCCCTAAACCCTAGACCTTAAACCGTGAAACCTGAAACCAGACCCTAAACCTAAATCCTAAACCCTTAACCTCTCTTTCATATGTAGTTTACATGTTAATGGCTTAGTGGGCGAAGGTCATTTTCTTACTGGGCAAGGTCATTTTCCCAGTGAGCAAGGTCATCTTCCTACTGAGCAAGCTTACGCAGACTTTGCCCAGAAAGAGTATGACCTTGCGCAGTAAGATTATGACCTTGCCCAGTAAGAAAATGACTTTGCCCACTAAGCAAATGACCTTGCCCAGTAAGACTCTTAGTAAGATTTCTACTGGGCAAGGTCATTTTCTTACTGGGCACAGTAATTTTCTTACTGGGCACGGTACTTTCCTAAGTGGGCAAGGTCATTTTCTTTCTGGGCAAGGTCATAGGTGGTACCCCAGGGCTTTAGGCTGGAGGTGAGTTTGAGGAATGGGCGGGTGGGTATTCTTCTGTTACTGGATAACGCTGCTTCACAAGTGAATGCTTGGACTTGAGATGCTGAACCCTCAGCCCTAAACCTTAAACCCCTAAACCTTTAACCCAAATAACCCTAAACCCTGAACCCCTAAACCTTTAACCCTAATAACCTTAAACCCTAAACCCTTAGACCCTAAACCCTTAACCCTTACCCCTAAACCCTTACCCCTAAACCCTAAACCTCCAAACCCTTACCCCTAAACCCTTACCCCTAAACCCTAAACCTCCAAACCCTAAACCCTAAACCCCAAACCCTAGGAGGCCGGGATGATGGCTTCGACCCACAAGAAGTCGCAGCCAAGCTTGCCGGCCTCAAGGATTCCCTGAAGTGCCCTGGGTCCTGAAGGTTTAGGGTTTAGGGTTTTGGGTTTAGGGTTTAGGGCTTGGGATTTTAGGGTTTAGTGTTTGGGGTTTTAGGGTTTAGGTTTTAGTGTTTTGGGTTTAGGTTTTAGGGTTTGGGGTTTAGGTTTTAGGGTTTAGGCTTTAAGGTTTAGGGTTTAGGTTTTAGGTACAAGGGTTTGGGGTTTAGGGTTTAGGTTTAGGGTTTGGGGTTTAGTATTGGGGTTTAGGGTTCAAGGTTTGGGGTTCAGTTGGGGGTAAAAAATTACGGAGGTACCAGTTTTTTTTTTCAGGGGGCTTGTCGAAATCTGTATCGGCATACTTATCACCTAGCACCCCACGCCCTTCACTTAACACCCTAGACATTAGACCCCAGCCCACGACTTCCAAACACCCTTACTTACACAGCAAAATCCTGAACCCTGACACTCTATTCAACATCCTTGCGCCTTAAGATCCTGAATCCTGAGCGCTGGGCTGGGAATGCAAGAGTTGGTTTGTTGAACTTTCAGGAACAATTCAAGCATCCTCCTAGAAACTTGTCTGAGTTTTTTGTCAGGTGCGACTTTCCTTTTCCATCCGGCACACAAAATGCCGATTTGGAGCTCTTCGACGTGCCCTGGTGATGACAAGGACCTGGCTTCTTGAGTAAGAGGGCTGAGACCCAAACTTTCAGACGTAGATTGCAAAGGCTCTTGTCAACTTGCCAAATGGGAATTTCCATAGAAAGGGGGACCCAATATAGACCCCCAACTAGTATAATCCTTATTGTACTCCCAAAAAGGTATTTCTAATTTTGGGAAACCCTCAGATAACCAGACCAGGCCATAGCCCTTGATGCCCTTTGACATACCAAAAAGCAACGAAGCTTCATGAAAGACTCCCTCAAGGGTTTAGGGTTTCGGAGATAATCTCCCGCCAAAATCACATACCCAGGTGCGGGAGGAGGTACTTCGAAGCATTACCGGCTTCACGCCGGGCACGGTCCTCAAAATCCGCCAAAAGCCATCTGCCCGCCTGACCCTGCCCCTGGGTACGCACGAGTAGTCCCGAAAGTAAGGCTTGCACATCCTGCAAGGAGGAGTGTTGGTGTTGTTGGTGGTGGTGGTGTTGGGGCTGGGGGTGGGGGGTGGGGGTGGCGGTGGGGGTGGCGGCGGCAGCGGCGGTGGCGGCGGCGGCGGTGGCGGCGGCGGCGGTGGCGGTGGCACCAGTCGCAACAGCAGCAGCAGCAGCAGCAGCAGCAGCAACAGGAGCAGGAGCAGGAGCGGCAGGAGGAGCAGGAGGAGTGATTGTACAGTAGCATTGACCAGCGGCTAGACCTGTGCTGAGGCTTCTCTCCTTTGATTGAATGAACCACATGAATCCTCCACTGCAGATGCAGAGTACTCCCTCATCAAACTCTATGCGCAAACAGCTGGCAAAAGAAAGTTGCCAGGCACACTTGGGGCTAGTGTTTAAATTGCAGGATATGTCGCCTGTAGGGTATAGGGTATACAGGTTCGATGAGACATTATGAAAGGGATTTTGAGGTGGACCCTAAGCATGAGGATTTTGAAAGCCCTTATAAGGGAGAATCATATTTGCATGTATAGACATGTATCGCATGTATGTACACATGTTTATGTACTCAAACAGGGAATGCGGTGGTTGCATTTTGACATCCACATTTGGTCTGACTCGGCTCCCGCCTTTGACTTTCTGATTTGTGACCAACAAGCCCTAAGCCCATACAAGCTTAGGATCGGGATCCGCCTGGAGCCGCACGGCGAAGATCCGAAGATCGGACTTGTTGAGAAGTATCTTGTGAAGTAGTAGTCTAAGGCTTAGGGCTAGGGTTTAGGGGGCACTTAATTTCAGAGTGTGTTTCCGTAGAGGCCCCGCAAAATGTGACTGTTTCACTTCCGCTGTAAAGTCGTTGCATCTTCAAGCATTGCCCTATGTGCTCAAAGATGTCAACCCAACCTTGCGTATCTTGTGCCTGCCCACGGGTTCAAGGAAAGTCTGGTGGCATTTCCGGGACGGTCCGGACGTGCACGCCGGCGCTGGGATGTTGCTTGATTGCAGCAGAATCCAGATTCGTCGGGCTTATGCTGGGTTGCTGTTGAGGAACTCAAACTAAGTTACTACAACACGGAAACCCCATTGTTCACTATATACTCAAAACATGGTAACTTAGTGTAGGTTCCTTAACAACAACCCAGTCATTGGGTTGGACTATGCCTCCAAAGACCTACGGGGCGCTCTCTCCGAACCTCACTGCTTGAAAAGTGCCAGCACGGATCATCATGGCCGCAGTCTGGGTTGCTGTTAAGGAACTTAAATTAAGTTACTATATTGGGGAAACCCTATTATTTACTATATATACCCATTATGGTAACTTAATTTAAGTTCCTTAACAGCAACCCAGCAGTGGGTTAGCCCGTGAGACAATGCCGATGTTGAAGAAGGGAACGTGCCGGCTCGACATAGGGGTTCTGCGTAGCTGTTCCTGAACATCCGCACACATTCCATGACAAGATCCCGCATCTCCCCAAGAGTAGAAGCATGAATCCTCTTCCAACCCCAAACTCTACATCCCACATCCTAAGAACTCCTAAGGCTTCAGGGTTGGCATGAGTCCTGGGCCCCAAATTTTCAACCCTGCATGCCCAAGAACCCCATGCAACGCTTGCGTATCGCCGCATATCTGCCCTGAACCCCTAACCCTAACCTTCAAACCCTGAACGAAAAGAGTCACCGGGGTTGTTAAAAAGCCCTGAACCCTACACCCTAAACCCTAAATCCTAAACCCCTTATACACCCTTAAGCTTGACCTGTATGGCCCGCACAGACAATCAGAACCCCAAGTAAAGGAGCGCCCAGGCTAGATGACTGGGAGTCCCTGAGACTTAACATGCAGGCCATGGTTCTGGGTCAAGGGTTTAGGGTTTAGGGGTCTAGGGTCAAGGGTTTAGGGCTTAGGGTTTGGGGTTTAGGACTTAGCTTTTATGGTTCTGGTTTGGGGTCTAGGGTTGAGGGAATCGATCGAAATCAGGGTGCCTTAAGGGACCCGAGGTTCTGAAGACGGGAAGTGAAATTAAAAAGCCCCTCTTGAGCAGTTTATAGGTGTTCTTGGAACAGCTCTCACCGGGCTCGAGCGAGTTTAGAGTTTGTTTTGCGTGGAGGTCCATAGGCAATCCTATTCTGTCTATAACCAGACTGATTCCCCGAATATGAGCCCCCCAAAATCCCTCAACAAGGGCTATCATTGTGGTGTAAGTGCAGAAAGTAGTTGCCAGTACTATGGACCTCCAGGTTAGGTTAAGAGGACTTCACTTTCTGTGCCCTGTGCTTCTTCCTCTTTTCGTTGACTGATATCCAGGCAGACGCTGGAAGTATTTGCGGAGGATCTCCCTTTTTTGACCCTCGGGATGGGGAAGATAGAGCAAGATTAGACCCTGACCCTTTCTTTTGGGTATATGGCATCTCATAAGAAGGACATAATCTTGCCAAGTTCAACCAGGCCAAGAGCATGTAACCCACTATATATGGGAGTTTCCCAAAATTAGGGTACCATTTTTGGGGGTCCCCATAATAAGGATTATAGTATCTTGGGATCTATATCGGGGTCCTGCTATTTAGGGAAACTACCATATAGCTGCAGTTTCCAGTTTCCATTCTTTCTCATGTTCTCTTCGATTTGACTCTTCATTATTCTCAAATATCCTCCTAGAAGCATCCGTCATATGGAAACCCTAAACCCTAAACCCCAACCCCCTGCAAGGAGACCGGGGAGAAAGTGGACCTCGCGGAGTTTCGGGAAGAGCTAAAAGACCGGAAGCCCGCAAGCATGGTGGCTGGGCCACATGGTTTGGGGTTTCAAAGTTAGGGTTTAAGATTTTGTTTTTTTTTCAACTTAGGGTTTAGGCTTTTGTTTTTTGTTCAACTTAGGGTTTAGGATTTAGGTTTTTTTTCGACTTAGGGTTTAGGATTTAGGATTTGGGATTTTGTTTCTTTTCAAATTAGGGTTTAGGATTTTGGGTTTGCAATTTCGGGTTTCAGGTTTAGGGGTTTCATGGTTGCCACATTCGCCTGCCTGCGATGCGAGGCTCATTGAGAAACATAGAGAACCCCCCGCCCCCCAGACTGTATGAACCACCATTCTTAGTGAGTTTAGGATTGCCAGGTTCAGGGGTTAGGGTGAGGAATGGGTTGATGGTTTAGGGTCTTTTGATAATCACCTCGCTCCCTATGTTCAGCACACAACAGTCAGTACATGCACAGAAAGATAGGTAGATAGATAGATAGATAGATATGTAGAAGGCTGCTTTTGTAAATCAAGTCGCGCACAAGATTGTGGTATAGTACAGAGACTGTCCACGGACTGTTCGTGGTTCATATGCAGTCTGGCTAGTATTGGAGAGGTTGCATGGGCCTGGGAGGTCTCAACTTTTGTGTTTTTTGGGTTCCCAGGGTAAGCGGCCCAAGTACAACTTTGCAACTTTGATGAGCCATTTTGAAATCCCCGAGCAGCACGGGCTTGCTACTGTTTAGGAGCCATGCCCGCAAAGCTCTAGGAATGATCCAGACAAAACTTGTAAGCTGCTGCCAGCCTTTGGATCCTTGAAATTGCTATGAAAGAGCACAATAGCATGTTCTGTCTGCCTTGCTTGCGTTAGTTATGCCCGAACCCCTTCCGGAAAAAAGACCCCCTAACGCAACCAAGAACCCCAAACCCTGCGCCTTCAGCCGTGAGCCACAAACCCAAAGCCCCCTGCTATACACCCCTCCTCAACGGCAAGTGGATGCAGGAGGTCCGCATGGACGGCTTTTTGTCACAGCTGGGCAACTGGGATTCTAGTCGGGGCGGGTTGGCAAAGTCAGTCGGGGTTCTTTAAAAGATTCTTTGGGATTACATAATTGTATGCGGGGATAGATTACCGGGTTGTGGCAGTCCATATTGACGGGGATTGGTTTTTATTGTGGGGCAAATGATGGGAACCCCTCACTTGAAAACAGCAAGAGACTTCCACATATCTCAAGATGACCGGCATGTAACACGCCCACAGGGACTACATACGGCGTTCTCGGGATGTTGCAAAGTTGAGCGTCACGTCCTTTTTCTTCAAGGCCTACCCGTTTTCCCCCACCAGTTCAGAGCACAGATATGAGGGTTTCCCAAAGAATGAAATAGCGATGCAAGCCTCATAAGCCCTGATGTTCAACCACAGCATCCAAAAACGCTCGATTAGGGTTTAGGGTTTAGGGTTTGGGCGTCAAGCCCAAAATCCTAAAGACCCCAAGCCCCTATCCAAACCCCACAGTACCCTCGGCCCTGGACGCCCTTTTTTCTGGGTTGCCGTTATGAAGCTCAAATTCTGGCACTATGATATGGAAATCCTATTATCATGTACTATATACCCATATTCTGGTAGCTTAATTCTATTATACCCCATATTATGGTGATTTAATTCTGTTACACCCCTATTCTGGTAGCTTAACTTAAGTTGCCAGCAACCCCGTTTTAGGTGGCATTGGTGGTGGCGGACCCCTTGAAGAGATGCTGCGGCAAGCGCTGCAGCGAGAGCTTTAAAGCCACGGCCGCAAGAAGCACGATATCAACCCTCAACCCTTAACCTCAGCTTTGAAACTGCTATACTATTTTTACTACTTTACAACCACTATTACTACTATTATTGCTAATGTTACGGCTATTACTACTATTACCACGTAGATAAAGCGTAACTTGAACCTGATCATTCGTAAGCCGTTGGTTTGGGGGAATTTTCCTTGAACTTCAACAATCTGAGCTTCGGCTAAGGGCTGAATTAGAAGTATTTGACCGATGGTTCAAGGCTTGTAGGAGTTGACTGTGTAGAGCTTGGAAGTGTTGTTCAAACCGGTAATAACCACAGCGGCGGCGGCAGCGACCGGGAGGGGTGGGGTGGTGGTGGGGGTGGTGGTGGTTGTGGTGGTGGTGGTGCAGGTTGTCATCGATAGCGTTGTCGCATCGAGTGTTTTGAGTTTCAAGGACTCAGGTTTCGCTCGTGAGCTGGTGAGCGTTAGATCTTAAAAGCAAACCGCTAGGTCTAGACCTTCAACCCTTCAATACATACATTGAGGCCCTGGCATTTGGGAGTTTCTCAGAAAAGCCGAAATGTCGTCCGTAACGGGAGATCTTTCTAATTGTTTCATACATAATCTGTGTCTTTCCCCAAAGGTCTTATTTTTGAGAAACGGCCCAGTTTAGTGGTTCGGACGGGGCCCTCAAGCGCCGGACCCGTGGAATTTCAAGGAACTTCCTTAAAGGAAGATTTCCGGAGCTCCTCTAGGTTGCTGTTAAGCAACTGAAATGAGTCATAGTCTAAAGTCTTCAAAGGGGGGTTATATAGGGCTATTGTATAGGGGACTATTATAGGGGGTATCAAAGGGGATACTTGGAGTTTAGACTTATTAAATCCTAAACCCTGAACCCTAAACCCTAAACTTCCTCTAAGTTCCTTAACGGCAACCCAGTCTTGAGTCAATCAAGGCTGGAAGCCACATGGGGTGTTCTCAAAATTCTGGGCCCCTGTTGGTTATGGATTATATCACGGCACCGAATATCTAGGGGTACCACAGTGGGACCCTAATTTTGGGAACTGTCCACCTGGAGGGCCCATGTATAATGAGTCGGAATCAGGATCTATCCTCCTTCAAACAGACATGGAGCTCTCATGAAGTCCACTAAGGCACCTTTTGAAGCACAGAAACCCTACAGGGGACTTCTTTGCGGCAGGATGTTGTTTTGGAGGAGGGTGCATGGGCCCACTGGTGCAAACTGATGACTCAAGTTCAAGACACATCCGCGGTTTAGCCGCCGGTGAAAAGACTGCACTTACACCAGGGTGTTCTCTCCAGCGCTGCGGGTCCTCAGGGATCATAGGGGTAGTTCACAAAATTACGGTCCTATTTTGGTACCCCGAAATATTAGGTGCCGTATTATAGGCTAGAACCAAAACGGGCCATAATTTTGAGAGCGGCCCATGTGAGCCATGGTCTAAATTTCTGGTACATCGGACGTAAGTCATGGTCATTGGCAGGTGAGACATGGTCTGAACTTCTGGTATTCCCCATTATAAGCCCTAGAATGCTCCCCTATCCCCTTCAACCATAAACTTGAAAACAGCCCGTAGGGACTACCGGAGGTATTGGTAGTGCGTGGGTTATCTCGAATTTGGACCCCTTCATGGTGAGCTGGAAAGAAGTGGGTTCAGGGTTTTGGGCTCTCAGCTTTTTGTCGAATCTGATAGTTTGGGTACTGCCCCCACTTTGTAAGAGTTGGAGAATATTTATCATATACTTTATATATATATATATACAGAGCTAATAATATGACCGTAAAATAGACTGTTACAGGGTGGGGGCAGTACCCAAATGATACTGATTGCCTTTGAAGAAGGGCTACCTTCGGACAGCTCAGGTGTTCCCCTGAAACACCAACACCCAAAGACCACCTCCACGCGTGGAATTTCGAGAAGCTGCATTTTCTCAAGCGCCAAGCCCTAGATCTGCAACTTAAAAAACAAGTCTCACATTACATGGGTGGTTGTCAAAATTATGATCCCCTTTTTTGGGTACCCTAAATATTAGGTGCCGTACTCTAATTGGGATCCATAAAGGGACCATAATTTTGACAACCACCCACATCTTATGCCAGATTCTCCTAGCAGTGGGAGTCCATGGAGGTCAAGCCACTGGGCACGCTGATCCCCAGCCGGCTCTAGGGCTTGGCTTAAGTAATTGTGATAAGGTGTTTGAGTAATCTTCTAAACGATACAAATAGTTTTCCTCTGTAGTCTTAATTCTAGAATGTATACCCCAGCAGCCTGTGTTTTGCAGGCGGCCAGCGCTTTCGTGTCGTGTGCCATGCTCTCGGCAGCTTTACGGGCCATCCGCGCAACTTGGCGGTTTCTTACAGGCTTGCAGTGGGGGGTTCAAGGGTTTAGGGTTAAGGGTTATCCCTAAACACTAAAACCCTAAATCCTAAGCCCTAAGATAGAAGGTCAAGTTAAGTAAGCCCTGAACCCTACCCCTGATTAGTAAACCCCTCTGTTGAAGGGCCTCAAGATTAGGATCACCATTATAATCCCTATTACAGGGAGGGAGTTTATTGATCATGGTTCTATATGAGCTATAGTCTAAACTCCTAGTATTCCCCTTGATAAGCCCTATAGTAGTCCCCTATATAATCCCCTATATAACCCCCCTTTAAGGAGTTTAGACTATGGCTCATATGAAACCCTCAACCCTGAGATGAAAGGCTTAGATTTCAGGATGTTGGGATGTGGTCTAAGGCCCCATCATGTGGGCCGTGGCCATTCCCAGCCTTGGTCTGTAGGATTTATAGTGGGTTTAGGGTTTAGGGTTTAGGGTTTAGCTGTGTGGTGAATCATTTTGGGGATTGCGGTTCTGAGCTTGATTTTTGTTGTTGTGGCTGTTCCTGCTTAAAGTCAACATGTGTCGTCCTAGGGCCAGTACTTGCCCATGAGTGGGGCGGTACACTTCCTCCAGTATGGCTTAAAAGCTTTTCCCTAAACCCTAAACCCTAGACCCTAAAATGCATGGCCCGAGCTTGATCTGCAGAACCCGAGCTCGGAAAAGCTCGCTACTCTTCTGCTTAATGCTTAGCATGCAAACGGAAATTGGTCATAGGGCGAACTATAACCCTAGACGCTGAGCCCTAAGCCCCATCATACGGCCCTCACTTCCCAGAAGCAGGCAGTCAAGCAGCCCAACGATCACAGCCACCGCAGTCGTTCAGAAATTCACACACAAATCATATCACATGGTTACTGTGACCATGTGCAGAATAAGCAGTACCGGAAGCTGAAAAGTAGTGATGATTTTGGTGCCACCTGCTGAAGGCACTTCGCAGAGCTCTGGCACAACGGCAAGAAGCTAGCTAGCAGCACTCGTCATCACAATAGAACAAGGTCAGAAGGAACAACTTGTTCGTTGAGGTCCCCAGACCTTTGCCGAGTCTCTTGCTGGCGCTGTGGAAGACTGGCTATCTGACAGACAGCACGAGTAGAAATGCATGCATCGGAGTGCTTGCCATTGTGTGGGTTTATTGAGGGCTTAGGGGTTTTGGATCCCCGTAGGCGGGGGAAAAGGTGCCTGGCAATGGCCTCACATGCAAGAAATGCTAATTCCAGAGCTGGGCTGTCTGTCACAAGGTGTGCCATGCATCCTGGTGATTTTCGAGTTGTGACGGGGTTCGGGGTGGAATTTCCTTCCCCATCACTCCACAGTGGACTCCGCTATGTTCTTCCAACATGTTTGTAGGGGGGTTCCCGCACCCGGCAGCTCCTTATGTTTGGGAAGGCTGAAGGTTTGGTCCATGACGATAGCCGACCCCATGATGCTCACTAGTAGGTCTTGTGGGGCCAGCCCAATACTTCGAAGGTGAGTGGGCGTGGGCGAGGGGTTTATAGAGGGGGATTATATTATGAGCTGCAGTTTAAACTCCAGAAAATTAGTATAGGGCTTACGAAGGTGGATGCTAGGAATTTAGATTGTAGCTCATATATAGAGACTGCTAGCGGGATACTTCCCTCGCTCTCTACCATGCACCAGGTCGTCTTCGGCAGGCATTCGTAGAAATGTCGAAGACAGGTCTAATTCTGTTGAAAATGTCACCCTACAGCCTAGACCCTGAAGGCCGAATACCTTACAATGCCTGCAAGCTGTTTGACACCCATGCGTGCTGTTCAACCTTAGCAACAACGGGTTAGATGAGAGACGCCTAGATCAATTTCATTTTTCTATGTGTGTGGGGATAGAGAATCCAGGAATAAAATGCATGAACAAGAGTACGCATTTGATTCTCATAGAGGTAGGGAGGAGGCTTGAGTTTCACCATCTGGGAGAACAGGAAGCCAAGAGCAATGTATTCATTGCTCCTCCTGTAGGCTTCGCTGGTGTGTCAGCCGTGAAGCTCTGTCATTGGGAGGGTTTGGGGTTTGGGGTTCAGGGTTTAGGGTTTCTGCCAGTTATTTGAGTCCTGTTGCCATCATGCCATGATTGCTTACTATCTACTCGCCTTCTAGTTGTCATTTCAGGTTCCTTTCTGGCAGTCGTAGTGTCATACTATTCCTTTTTTTTTATCTGATTATTTGATGTATCATTACAGCCATGACCTATGACTTGGGACAGTCCTAACGTTGGTCCCCTAGTGTAGAAGCGTGAATGATTTCCCATATCATTCCTGTTAAGTCCTTATACAATTCTAATCTATACCCCATCACCCTATTGCAATTATCAGGCACCTGCAATTAATCTTCATTTATATCCGTGCATGAACTCTCATTTTCCATCTTTTCCCTTTTACTCTCCTCTATTCTGCTTTTAGGATTGCCTCACTAGGTAGGCAGAGCCCAAGCTACGACAAGGTAACATCGTATAGCTCCCTAAAGTTTCTAGTATGGATATAGCCCCGTTAAGTAGATAGAATAGGGCTTTGGGTATCTTATAGTAAGACCCCCATATACCCCATATCCTATCTGCTGAAGGGGGCATTATAACACTAGTCTGTTGTAATATCTTTGCTTA